ATATATATATATATATATATATATATATATATATATATATATATATATATATATATATATATATATATATATATATTATTTAAATAATACTAAATTATAATAATTATAATAAAAATAATATCGTATCATATATATCACTAATTATAAAACATTCGCATCGAAACAGTCGAAAATGTCGGTATGTTGTGTGCAACGCAGGAAATGTAGAAATTATATTACAATAATTTACAACAAAGTACAAAAAGCAGTTACACATATACATTTGTTGCCTAAAGCTGAAGAAAGACTGAATTTAACGACACGCGATTTAGCTTGTTCTTATGCTCGAGCAACTTATCTCTTGAAGACGAACCCTTTGCGACGGCTTTTGGTATCGACGAGCAATTGTGCTTGTCGCTTTAATACGTTTCTAGACGGCACTTCCTCCTCGTCTTCCGACAATGCAGCAGCCGGGGTCGCGCACGGTGGAAACCGTGGAAACAATGGGCCCCCGTTTGCACGCATTGTTCTGCCTTCCATCGAAGTCGTAGTTACCGACATTGTTTCCATCTGAAAGACAGCGGTATTTATAGCCGGTCACGTAGATTTAGAGATTTCTTATTTTTTTGCATGCATTTATAACAGATCTACGAGTGCCAAAAATTATCCATAAACAATATAACAGCAGTAGGCTACATATGGTCTAAAAGGATTTAGGAAAAACGGTTCTTTTTCTTTTCTTTGTGATTACTATCTAACATATTTTTACTACACAGAAAAACGAATGCCGTTAGAGTAACTGTATGTTCCGTTGCCTAGGAAGAATAGAGACCAGATAAAAAACTCGGTTGTAGGGACAGAACGATTTCTTTAGGATAAGATTTAGGAATTTTCCCATTCAATCAATTACTCTCAGTTGTATTAACTGAGTATTAATGCAGCCAAACGTTTACATGAATATTTTCTGTCGTCATAACAGAGATATCGTTTCTCATTATTATTAAAAGGGGCCGCGGTTTCAATAATTTAATTAAAGGATAAATTTTCGTTTTTATGTCATTCAGTTACACGAAATGAGATTTTTTTATGTACACATACAGATTTCTTAATTTTTATTCAATTTACCTTGTCCAATAATACTTCGTCCATTGTCTCGAGATATTTATCAGAAACGCTTAAAATATCAAGCCCAAATTTTATTTTACCGTTTAAAAATTCGATAATCTCTAAAGGATCATCCATTTTGGTATCCTCGGGCAGAGGACTATCTGCAATATGCTGTAAACATATGTATATGACATATTTATTTTAAAATTTTCTACTTTGTAACATATTTAATAGCATATGATATATAATTGTTAAATATTTTTAGAATATATATTTAAGAACATTTGATGTTGTTTGATAATTGCAAGTATAAAGTTCCAGTTTAAATATTTCCTGCATAAATCAATCTCTGAATGGATAAAGTTTATAAACGTATCCGAAAAAGGGTCGATTTCGCGAAAGTTTATTTTTACACTGTTTCAAAATCATATTTTTGTCTTTGTAATTTCAATTTTCTAAATTTTAAATATATATATTTTTCTAAATTAATATTAATTCAGTATTAATAATAATTATAAATAATTCATGTAATAATAATTACATAAATAATAATTATAATTTAATATTTATTTCTATAATTTTCAAATTGAGATATAAATTACGTGTTAAAAATTACGTAATATAATATAAATAGCATATAATCTTTACTTAAAAAAAATATCTAAATTTCAGGCGATCTCTCTCTCTCTCTCTCTCTCTCTCTCTCTCTCTGCTCATAGTTCTTTAACACAATCTTCGCTTGTTTTGAAAAATTAGGACGGACTGAAAAGGACTGTTCAATTTGTGTGGGTAATTAACGGCCGAGGATTCCACGTACTCGACTCCCGATAGAATCAATACTGATTCTTCGCGCGTTTCGTCTCGAAGTGTTTATTTTCAATCAGGCATTGAGGTGTTAATACGCCAACGTACCGGCGACGTCGGACGAGGTGAGAATTACGGGACGCGGGCTAATCAGGAAAATCCATCGACGACGATCCGAGATATATGAACGCGCCGAGTCGGGGGTGTCGAGTTTCCAAGAACGATAAATAGCGCCATGGCTACTCGTCGGTAGACACCATTAAAGACACGGTTTCACTAATTTAATTAAGCGTCTACACGGTATTTCCATTCGACGTTCCGCGCATTACGAGGGCTACACTTCTCTGAGTGCGTTTCTTCGCACGTGATAATTCGCCGCAACGCGTTTCGGACACGCCGCGCGGGATGACGCGGGGAGACGCGTTAATTAAGACACTTCTATTTCAACAATCGACTATTCGGTCAATATCGTCGTGCTATTGTCCAACTGATTATCGCGTAGCTGTTCAGATGTGAGTTTCATTCGTTTGCTTTTGTTCTCCTCGAACTCGTGAGATTATAAACCCGGCGCGAAGATCGATTTCTATGGGCTATATTAGTAGTTATTGTTTGAAACTCGTTCCAAATGAGATACTCAAATTTCAATTCAGAGTTGGGTGAGAGTTTTTCAGTTGAATCGCGATTACAGATAACATACAAATACATACGATTACATACAAATGTTACATATATCGAAATTGGATTGAAAAACTTGAATCTAACTCTGAATAAAAGTCTAAGGGTCGGTTTATCCAACCTCTTGCTAAGCTAACTAACAGTTAAATCTTATGTCTGTTTCTACCTAATTTAAAGGAGAAACAAAGACAGACGTATGAGTTAACTGTTAGTTAGCTTAGCAAGAGGTTGGAAAAACCGGCCCTAAGTATCTTATATGAGACAAGTTTCAAGTGGCAACTATTAACATGGCTTATTGTTAGAAAAAATTGAATATCTTTCTTTTTATAAGACAATTTACATCTCAGAAGCCTGATAATGTTTACTCTAATTAATTGCAAGCAATAAATATCCGCTTTCTTGTAAGGTGCGGTCTCATTCGCATCTCCGTCAGGCTAATACCGGCCTCCTGCACGGCTATCATTTGCGGATTTATAATTGATAACTCTCACCTGGAACTTCTCACACAGTTTGCGCAGTGTACCGGTTACTTCGTTGAGGAGCTCGTCGATTCGTCGACTCGCCGCCTCGGCTCTCTCCTTGCGAATTCGTTGTTCGTCAATCTGTGAATTCAGTTTCGCCACTACCTCTGCATTCCTGTAATATGCAAGATGAGTCATGAGTTACAAGGTTTAAAACTGCAGTAAAATACATCCCCCGTAGCTTTCGCCCCGATTCACCCTAACTCCGAATAAACGCAGTTGCAACTTCGCAGCCGGTCTTTTGAACCCGTAGAGACCTCTCATTAATTATTCAACTCAAGGACGAAACTCACTGTTCGGCGCTCTTTGTCTCCGAGAATTTTCTCATCTCTATTTCGGCACTAAGTTCCTGTCTCTTCCTCTCCAGCACCATTTTCTCTTGCTCGGTGGCGGTGCGCATTTTCTGCAGGCTGTCTTTGGTCGCCTGCTGACCCAGAAACCGGTTCAGAACTTCCTCCGACCTGGACACTCCGGTGGCGTTCCGCAGCTTGGCGAATGCCTCCTCCAGCCATGTCAGCTCGTCCTTGATCATACCCTCCTTCGCATGCACGTCATTTTTCTCATGTGTTTCGAAATCGTCGCGCGGCCTAGTGTGGAATATCATACGCTCCAGCCGCTCCAGTTCCATTTTGCGCTCTGACACGCGCTGCCTGATTCATCCCGCAACATTGCGAACTCGGTTAACGTTCATTCGCGGCAGCGATCGTTGTCGTTGTTGAAATTCGCATGAAATAGATTCATCGAGTCATTTACAGGAAAGGTAGAATTGTAACAACGTTTTAAAATATATAGTCGCGTATACCTATATTCCTTAATCACGGAATCGCGCCTTTTGCTGGAATTCGTTTCCTCGATCTCCTCCTTCGCCAAGGTCTCCTGAGTGCTGTCTCTCAGCTCTATGGCCTCCTCTTTCACCCCCTGCAACCGATGACGGTGTGAAACGGAGCGCCTTATCGACTTGTTCAAAATTTTAGCTTTACTTTCGACCTAAACTTTTGATATCTGTATATGCTGAATCATCAATGTATGTTTAATACATACGAAAAGTCCTATTTGTCTCCTCTACTAAATGGCAGAAAATGCATAAGGAGCCACTTGCAGGTTCTACAGAAGCTTTGTATCTTAACAGAGTCAGTAAGTTAAATAGAATGAAAAGAGACTGAGTTCAAAGTATCAAAGTAGACGTTAGATGAATTGTTGAGATCGAAAGTAGGATCAATGGTTATCATTCGCTTCGCGTCATCACTAGTTTGTCACTCTTACCTGTAAGCGCTTGATCTCGATCTCTTGCTGCCTGATGGCGTCCTCCAGATCCTTCAACGAGGAAGCGTAAAACACCGATTTCTCCCGCAACTCGGAGCAGACGGAGCGGTACTTCATGCGCGCGATGTTCGCTTTAATTTGCATCATTCGAATGTGCTCCAGCTGTACTTCCAGACTCTCGATCTTCTGCACGAATAGACCGCATTTACGTTTTCAACTGTCTTTAGAGCTCATCGTGAATTTCGCGAATTTCAGTCGGATTACCTTCTTCATCGGATTTTCGGTCTTCTTCTTGGACACGCTACGACTGCGTCCGTGCGTCAATTCTTTACTTTCCGTTTGCAAAGTATTCAAAGTCTCTTCGTGCTAGTGGCGTTCAGCAAGGTTATAATACGAGGTTATCAATATGTTCGTCGCCGATCACGGCTCGGAAAGATATCCAGCTACATACCTTTTCACGCTGATACTTGATTAGATCCAATTTCTTCCTTAGACGTACATTATTCTCGCTCGCCGTGCCTATAATCTCCTCCAGATTACGTTTACTTGCGCAAGATATAGAATCGCGGCTCAACAGTGCCGCGCGCTCCATCGCCTCTTCATCCTGAAAAAAAGGAAAACATCACACTTGCAATCTCGTAATTCTTGTTCGAAGAGAATCGTTCGACTTTACTCTCGCGCAGCGCACGTTACATTTTTCACTTTCGCGTATTTCGCGTAAAGTTCCTTGACTTTCCTCTTGAGGTCGACGATCTTCTGGGCATTCTCGCGTTTCTTCGCGTCGTACTCCTCGAAGTTGGCCTTCCTCTGACCCTCTGAAAGAAAAAAGCGACATTCGATCGTGTTACATTCCATTGTACTCTCTTCGTCCAAAAAAATCGTAAACGCTCAAACTCGTCTGAAAACGCCAGTTCACTGAGAGGATTCAACGAAAATATTTATTTGTTTGCGCTAATTCGGATTCGCGTTGAATCGTTCTCTCATTTCACGTGGAAATACGACCGCGTCTCGAGATTTCGAGGAATCGTAAAACCTGGTGCGGTCTGTCACGTCGCAGAGCTCCGTATGGCGTGTCCACGTGCGCAAGTATCGCGGATAAAATGAGAAAGCGCGGCGCGAAGTGACCGGCCGGCTTCATAGTCGAGTATACAACGTCGACGGATAAATCTATTCAGCTGTCTCGACTCGCTGATGATGCCGCGAGATCCTTGAGAGATGATCTATTCAATACTCGTCACTATCGGAGCTGTTTATTATTTGCGCCGGGGATGTCTAACGTCGGCTCATTAATGCAAACGTAAACACGCCTGCGACGCGCGAGCAGAAGGATTCATTCACGGTGCTCGGTGCTTATCATCTAATCGGAAATTTCGTTAACCGGTTTCTCGTGCCGCGGCCGATCGCGAGTGTCGATAGGCAAAACTAAGATCATGAGATAATTATAATTTGAGGAATATAAGTGCACTAAGCTTCAATAAAGTCATTAACACTTACTAGAACGAAATTCACTGGTCTTTCTAATCGTTCTCATCGTGTGTTTGAATGACACAACGATGTGATATATCAAGCTGTCAAAATGACAAATTAATAATTAAGTCATCATGTATACGTATATCCAAACAGTATGCGAACGATTAGAAAGAGCAGTCAGTATTGGCTTGCTAAAAAGTTTCCTTGGTTTTATTTATGTTATAATTTTATACGCAGAAAAATATCACTTTTCGCTGCTAAGATAAGCAATTATCCAGTTTATTTTTCTTCTTTTCTAGTTATCTTCAACAAAGAATATTTTTTCTCTTTCTCTTAATAGTCTTAAAATTTACTCATCAGAAATTTGAGAAAAGTTCGTTATCTTATAGTTAAAAGAAGAATTTATTCTCTTCACAAGAGTATCATGAAATTTGATCGGAGAATAAGTTAATTCGGCTCTACGTAATAATCAAATCGAATTTTTGCTTTAATTTGATATTCTTGATCGAAATGCTACATTCAGGATACAAAATATATTTTAAATAAATTTGATGTTTTATATAAACTAACATTGAAACAGATAACAACTCACTTCAACGCAGTATGTATTTTTATGTGTATAGCAGCATTATACTTTTAGTTTGATGAAGCTTAGTAAAAAGGACAAGTGAAACGAAATACGCTTCGCGATACGATCGCGGATCGCATTTGCATGTTTTATGAAACCAAAGCGACCGTCGCCGTCATGTGTGCGACGTTCTTGGCGAGCTGCACTGAACGACCTGACGGGCTTCCTCTTGTGCGATTATTATGCGAAGTGGACGCGAGCCTACCGCAAGCTGTTCCGCAACACATAGCCTAATCGGCAGCACACCCCACGGATTTTGCTCTCCCTTTTCACACACATTTCGCCTCTTTCATTCCGCTATTTTTACATCGACCGTGCCATCTCGAATACTGGTTCTTCCAGTTCGACCCCGTTCGTATTTATCATTGTATAATACGATCGCGATCCCGTCTCTGAAATGTCAGCGAGCTGTCCCTTTTCGGCGCACCTCGCTGTGGTGTAACGAATACCCGAATGTTAAAATACGGGCCGTCCCACTTTTACCGTATTATCTCTTAATAGCAGATCCGCCGGCTGATACGAAATCGATTTTTTTCTCGCGAGAATGTCAACCGACGAGCGTCATCATTCATCTTTCGGTAATTTTAATTAAATGTCAATTTAAAATTACACTAAAGCCCATCTAAAATTAATCGAAGAATCATGGCCGGTTTTCAAAGATCTGGAAATCTGCTCGTCAAAAGCCACTGAATTTTATCCTTTGTTTTTAAAATAACAATACTATTGTTCTATCTTCACGTTATAAATGTTTATTAATAGCCGTTTCCTCTATGTTGAGTTTTAGAGAAAGACACTCCAGAAGTATTTAATATTTGATTATTTCAAATTCTACCCGCATTTGATCTTTATTCATTAAGCATTATATATTGCTTACTTCAATAAGCGATATATTATGAACCTTGTTTGACTGCAGATAGCATGTAAAGTAGCCTAAACTCATCATCTTGCTCTCCATGCTTCATCATGGTACTAATTTGTGGCATTGACACTCGCTTAGATGCAATTTGATTAGAAACACGTGTAAATTTATGCGATGTCGAGCCTGATTGAATATTTCAAGTGTAAATGAAGAGAAAAATCGAAGAATGTACGCTAAGATTTTTATTCTGAACTCTCTTTTATCGACTCTAAATATGGCCAATCATAAGTAACATTTAGTGTAAGTCATTTTGAAGCACTTTTATTGTGGTAAACGAGAAAGTTCAGAATAACAATCTAAGAAAATAGAGAATATTAAATTGTTTGATCACCCGGTATAGGAATTGTATCGTTATAATATTATCAAGTATACAGATGCACACGAGAGAGATACACGTGCTTCATGCAAACACGTGTATCGCCGTACGGAAGAGAGTGCGTGACGTAGTAGGTACTAAAACAATGAGCGAAACATACTCGAGTTGAAATTTTGAATTCTACACCGCAGTAGGAGCTAAGATAACAAAGTAGGTTTAATTCTAATGATATAATTTATTCCTACTTTGACCCTGATAATGTCTTTCCGCTTTCACTTTCTTTAGCGACAAAGTAGGTTGTATAGTAGGATCTTAGGAAGTCAAAATAAGTTCAGTTGTAAATATCTATTGAAGCTTTAGTTCCTACATAGAATATATATACATAGAATATATATACATAGAATATATATACATAGAATGTACCGTAAGATGGGGTTATTTTGTGACTGTAGGGGTTACTTTGTGACACAGTGAATATTGGTCAATAGTGATAATTATCATTATTGATTAATATTCACAAAGTAACTCCTACAGTCACAAAGTAACCCCACCTTTACGGTATTTTATAGAATTCAAGGTTCAACATAGGGTCAAAATTTCGACTCGGAAATTGGTGTCAATATCGTCAAAATAGGTTTCACCTAAGTTGTAAATTACACAGGCCTACAATTTAAAAAAAGTTGTCTGTGCTGGGGGTCTGACTAAGTGTACTATACATACTTTGGGCTGCTGAATCCAAATCCGGTGTCAGATTTGCTCCATCACCCTTGAGTTTCCCGGAAAATCGAGGAAATCGTGAAAAGGAGCAGATATCCAGGTTTTTAGACGGAGACATGTATTTAAGAAAAATTCTAGAGTGACAAATAACCCCATAATCCCACAACCAACGTTGAAAATACATTATGTACTTCAACATGGAAAACGAATCATTCTACACATCCCCTACGGGGCAGTTGTCATCGTCTCCAACATTTTCTGAAGCAGCAGGATTTATCTGATCGACGATCATATATTGTAGAATTGATATTTCGAATAGAAAAAAGATTCCATCTCGTGGACAATAACATGAAAGTGACCATGATAGGGCACGCACAGATTAGATTTTCTAAATCTAATCTATGCGATGTTAAAGGATTGATAGGTGAACTAAAACCGAATATGTATGATGGTATATGGGTTATTAGGTTGTTCTAGTCATCAGATGTTGAAGTACATAATGTATTTTCAACGTTGGTTGTGGGGTTATAGGGTTATTCGTCACTCTAAAATTTTCCTTGAATACATGTCTCCGTAAAAACATGGATATCTGCTCCTTTTTATGATTTCCTCGATTTTCCGAGAAACTCAAGGGTGATGGAGCAAATCTGACACCGGATTTGGATTCAGCAGCCCAAAATACGTATAGTACACCTAGTCAGACCCCCAGCACAGACAACTTTTTTTAAATTGTGGGCCTGTGTTATCTAATAAGTAACACTACCCAAATGCCATACGCCGATCTTCTTGAAACTTTGCACACATGTAGTACATCGAAAAACACGTTATTTTTTTATTTTGGCTAATAAGGCATTTTAAAGTTAGAAAACGCATTCGAAAATTTAATACTCTATAGCACACAATGATAACTAACGCTACTTCTGAGCGTCATTCTTTTACGACATTACTCTATTATAATTTCATTGTCTAAATGTTTCTGAAGTCGCTAATTATAATTTTGACATTAGTTTGTAATTGTAATCATGGGTCTAAAAAACTTCTTCGAAACTGACTTTGAATAAAGTCTTTGAAATGTCTGCGATTTCGGTCCGCCATTTTGAATCTCGCAAAACTAATGTCAAAATCATAATTAGCGACTTCAGAAACATTCAGACAATAAAATTATAATAAAGTAATGTCGTAAAAGCTGCAAAAGAATGACGCTCAGGAGTAGCGTTAGTTATCATTATGCTATAGAGTGTTAAATTTTCGAAGTTTTCTAACCTTAAAATGCCTTGTTAGCCAAAATGAAAAAATACGTGTCTAATGTTTTTCGATGTACTATATGTGTGCAAAGTTTCAAGAAGATCGGCGTGTGGCACTTGGGTAGTGTTACTTGTAAGTAGGCTCAAACTATTTTTAAGACCGTCAAAGTAGCGTCAAAATTTTCACAAAGTAGAGTTAAAGGTTCAAAATCGAAGTTAATGAGTATCAGTATCGTTAAAGTAGGTTTTACTTAGGCTATAAACCGTCTAAATAGACGCAAACTATCCTTAACCCGGGAGTGGAGTTGTTAACGGAACCAACGTTAGCGGGCGCGTACTGGTCATTTCGACCGAAATATATTTAAGCACATATATGTATAATAATTGAGTAATTATTAATAAATTACCAATTCAATTATTAAAAGAAACATAATAATTGAAGTAAATAATTTTATTATGTCACTATTTCTTCTTTTCCCCCTCTTTTTTCTCTTTACCATTTCTATATCTAATATGTTTAAGAAATATATTAAACTTATTATACATATGTGAATATATTAAAAATAAAATCATAATGTTTTTAACTGCATTGGTACAATTATTGGTAGTTATTAATGTCTCATATATGTACTCAGAATCCTCCGAATCACTAATTATTTCTTCTGTTTTATATCCTTCTAAATAATTCTTTCTAGATCGCTTACTCATGTTTGCACGTTTATAATTGTAATATTCGAGACACTAGAGAGAACCGTCCGCCCAACTACGATGTCGAAAAGACAATAGACGTTTGGCGGCACATCGAGCGATGCTGACGTGGCAGAGATAAAATACTAACGTTAATAGGCGCGCTATG